CCCCCAGTAGCCAGTTCTTTTCAGCCGATCTGCCACTACTGTAAAATTGCTGAAGTATTTTACCTAAAAACGGATTCAATTATTTGTGGGACATACATACACAAAAAATACAACTTATCTCCACAGTAATATAAACATTTCATTTTTTTGTTAGTAAAAATAGCTACCATTTCATGAACACGTATGTGCTAGGTACTGTGTGAATGCTTTACATATATTATCCTACATAATCTTCAACAGTTAAAATTGGCAAGATGTGTATTTTTATTATTCTAACAGATGAGCAGGCTGAGGTTGAAGGAAATTAATTTATCCAGGGTCTCAGAGTGGAACAGTAGGGCTGGGATTCAAACAGTGGGTCAAAATGGCCGAGGGTGTATGAGAGCAGGGGAGGCAGGGAACCGTGATACTGTGTATTTCAGTCCCATCCCAGCATGCCTCAAGAGAGCCGTGGGTACTTGTGGTATTTTTGTCCTATTCCAGCGTGTGTCTTACTGAGTCCAGGGAGTAGGCAACATTGAGACTCCAAATATATAGCTTGTCTTCCAAATAGGACTAATATTATTCTCTGAACTCTTTACTGATAGATATTTTTAAAGTATCCATTCTGGGCTTTCAGCCTCTTTCATACCCAGTTGTACCAAAGCACTGTAAACATATAAAAATTGCTGTCTCTGGTTATCTTTTTTTTCATTTGTGTGGCTTGTTTTTTTATGTTTTTGTTGCAAGTCTAGAAAATGTTTGTATTACATGTACACATACACACACATGCACATATATACATATATATAGAGAGAGAGAAATAAAAATGACTTATTATAGAAAACTTGGAAAGCACCAAAAAAGCACAAAAGAAATTAATCTCCCGTAAAATCAAATATTTAACCACCATTAACATTCAGTCTGTGACTTTACAGTGTTTTAATGCGCATATCTATTTTTTTTAGGTACCAAAATCATAATCTGTATGGTACCCTTACTTTTTCTTCATTTACTAATAGATCATGAACATTTTCTCACGCTAATATTCTTCCACTACCTGATTTTTTGGGAGGAACCTGATAGCCATCATCCAAATGTGCTAAAATTTACCTAAATGTGTTGAATTTACCTAAATTTAGCTAAGTGTGCTAAAATTAACCTGTATTTGCTTATTTTGTTTGTTCCCATTTTTTTCCCTAATGATTTCATATGACTTCTATTGTTGGTATTGTAAAAATCCAAAAAAAGGGGTATGAATTAATTCCTGGACATTAATGTCTATGTGAAGGTTAACTTTGGGATTATTTTCCCTCAAATTGTTAGAGAATTTTAAGACCTTAGTAGAAGAGCATTGAGCAGTCACCTGGGGTAGCCTCCTGACAGGTGAGCCAGCCTCTCTTAAATACGTCCATACTACTCAGCTCCTCTTTCTATGTTCTGACTTTGTATGTTCCTATGGACATAAGGAACTAGATTCTGACAAATAGATTTTGAAAGTTGCTTCCGAAACCTTTAGAAGCTGTACTTCAAGATCAATGTGATTTGAGAATCTGGAAGGAAGTTAGAGGCAGGGTAGCAGGCAAGATAGCACGGAATGCTGGCCTAGCTAATAGAAGCCAAATAATTATTACAGACTGGCAGAGAGTGTTCTCTGATTTGCAAGCTACAGTTATTCTAATTGATTTCTGCATACTTGTGGATAGGGATCTGCCCTCTTCCATTTATTTTTCTCTTGACAAGTAAGATGTGAAATGTTGTTCCATGCCTTTCTAATTTAAACATTGCACATGTTGAGAACTGATCTTGCCAGCCATTTTTAAGCCTGGCCAAAAACATAACAGATTGTTGTTATTAGCCTTCATCATCTGGTTAGAGCCAACATTTTGTTTGGAACTATACCGGAGTATAAATCTCCTTTATAGGCATAACCTATTTCTGCCATCAAGCAAATTCAATGAGAAGGTAACTGAGTGTCCTTGGTGAGTTGCTCTGGTTAGCATCATGAGGCTGATTAGAGCAAGGATGCTCATTTTGAGAGACTTCTTAGGAAGCGAGATTCATGTTCTTGAGGATCTTATGATTCAGCTGAGGGAAAAGATGCACAAATAACTAATACAAGGCAATGTATGAAAAGTACACATACACAAAGATCAGAGGCTGCTTAGAGGAAAAACAAAGCATTACCTCACGGCCTGATTTTAGGGCTATGGACGATGATGTCCTTGAGGCCATATGCAGCACATTGAGGCTGCAAGCTGAGTAAACCATCTGTCTCACACACATGTGTACTATTTTCCAAGTATATTTAGATGCTCTGATGGCCAGTGATGCTTTTAAATGAATTCCTGTTTTATTACATTTATTGTAGCTTTTTGCCATATTATGTATTTTCAGTCAATACTATAATAATAATTCCTACCATAGGTGTCTATAAAATTTTTTCATGTTAAAAATTATTTTAGTTACTTGAAGATTGGAAACTTTCATTGTCTACAGCAGTGCTTTCCCATAGAACTTTCTGTGCTAACAGAAATGTCTCTGCGTTGTCCAGTATAGTAGTCATTAACTACATGCCTCACTTGAGGACTTGAAATATGGCTAATGGAACTGAGAAACTGAATTTTTAATTTTATTTGATTTTAATTGATTTAAATTCAGATAGTCACATGTGGTAGAGGTTACCATATTGGATAATGCAGATCTATTATATCTATTCTAATTATAAAATTATATAGGTAATTTTCTACACCCCATACACACAAGTTTTCTCTGCCCTGCCCCCTCTGTTTCAAGTCTACCCACAAATGTGGGCCTACCCACTTCTTCTCAGAGGCCCCTGTTCCTGAAGGTTCCTTAGGCCAAGAGAAGAGTTCTCTTATAGATGCTTAATGAAATGACTTTGAAAGACTTTTCTAATCATAGAAATAAAAGGAATGGTAGTTTATACTTTTCTTTCAGCCACCATCTTATTCTCAGGGACTTGAAGGGATTTCTGTATACCTGGGACACATGCACTAATGGTTTTCATATTTAGTTGTTTCAGAGTTCATACAGCATGTTCTTTCTTTAAAAATTGACTATTTGGTAGGCAGGGTAGCTATAAATAATTATTGGAAACTCAAAAATGAAGTCTTACTCTAGGGCTTTTACTAGGCAAGAAAATTTCCCTGTCCTTTGTTCTCCTGATGATTATTAAGAGTAACTGAATGATCTTTCTTCTCTTACTCTGAAACAATTAATACAATTTATAGCACTTAACAGGTTATATGTCTTTCCTATGACTCATTGCCTTGGAGTCTTTTAAGATCATCATGGGCGGTGGCAACATAGAGTATAATCGCTTCGATTAAGGTAACAAGATCATGAGAGGATAGTCAAATATCTCTGAACGTAAAATTCACCCTTATATTTATATTATGGTTGCTATTCATTATAAATGTAGTGCCGGTTGGATTACTAGGTAACTCAAAATTGTAATTTTTCCCAAAAGGTTTTTGTTCTGCGCTGTTTTAAAACAAGATGAAGGAGGAAGGCAGTGACTTGTAGAATTCAAAAAGGGATCTGACCAAAAAGTCCTTTTGGAACTCATCCTTGAGGAGTTCCCATTAGAGTGATCACCACCTTAATGGAATGATCTAGGAAGAGGCCTTCCAATGGAGGTCTTTCTGTCGACAGAGGGCCCTCTATTCCCACGCTCCCCACCCCCTCACCGCCAAGTGTGATGGCTATATCACTCTTCTCTGCTGCACTCTCGATAGGCTCTCTCACTTTTTTGAGGCCTGAGGCTTAGAGATTTTTTTCAGATACCAGACCCAGAGTGAGGAAAGTTTCATTTGCTGAACCAAGAGGCCAGAGTGTGTCCTCCTGGTTCCTGCTAAGCAAGTGCATCCCGATAGCAGATATGCCAACAGGAGAGGAAACTTAAAGGCACCTGCACGCAGTGTGCAAAGCACATAAAGCCACATGAGATAACAGAACACGGAGAGGTGTACCATGATCTCCATTCTGTGTAGCAGGATTCTTCCATTCTTCACCCTCTCATAGATAAATCTTCAGGCAATTGTTTCTGACATTAAAACTGTTGAACATCTCTTCTCCGAGACTTCCTTCTGCTGTGTTTGTCCCATTTTAATTAAACACATCCCTCCATCATCCGCTAATCTCCATTTTAAAGGAGATGCATGGGTTGTTGTGATGGTGGTTGGTGGTGATGGTGTGTATGTATGTGTGGGTGAGGAGTGAAGCCCAGGGAGAAGCCAGCCAGCAAAAAGAAGTTAATGTTTGCAAATATAAAATACCACCCTAAATTTGCTTCCCTTTCTATTCGGTAGTAAACACCAAAGAATCCATTCTGGCCCTGTGCTCCCATCTCCTTCATAGAAGATAGGAATGAAGAGGCATAAGCTGAGGACCCTTCAGTCTTTGGGAAAGGATCTAAAAGAACAGTATAGTTTGGGGTCTGTACTGCTCCCCTCCCTGGGGTCTTCCTATGCTCAGGCTGCCACATCTCCTTCCTCCAGCATCTGAACAGCAAGGGGTGGCTCTTTTCACAGGACCAGGTCCTTCTCCTTGGTAAATCTGTATAGAAAAAAATAATGGGCAGCACTAGTCAGTCTCAAGTCTCTCTAGTATAGTGGGTTTAGTCTTATGACTTCTTAACCTTCCTGTGCCCATTTTATGTATTTTTGTTTCTGGTTACAAAATTATACCAACTTTATTGTGTCTTCTAAATTTTCCATTTTGCTGTTTGAGTCTATATATGTTTCGCTGATTAGAGTATCTTACCCTGAAAGCCTCTGATCTCCACTGTAGGAAAGTAGTAGAAGGCTAACTATCTATTAGCAAGCTTTGGGTTGCTGGATATTTTAGTAATTGCCTTCAAATGTACTAACAAGGTTGCAGGTTTGATGAAATGCTTATGAGTGGTGGCTTTAGGGAAACCAACCTCTCTATTCTCAATATTGAATTCCAAATTACTATGTTTTAATGCATCTGTCTCCTGCCTTTTTTTATTTCAGTACCTCCTAGAAATGAAAAGCTTAATCCTCCCCCCAGAACATATCCTGAAGCGAGGGGACAGTGAAGCAATAGCGTATGCGTTCTTTCATCTGGCACACTGGAAGAGGGTGGAAGGGGCTTTGAATCTTTTGCATTGTACATGGGAAGGCAGTAAGTAATTTTCTTTCTTTGAAACGTTTTTTTTAAGAGCACAGAAAGATGCTAAAACTGTTTTTATCCTGAGTGTTCATGATGAATAATGATGATTTGCATATCTATAGCTCTTCTTCCCTGAAATGTTCCATCATGAGAGATGATGGTTAATTACTGAGACTCTTCAGTTCCCCAGTGGTGGTGGATGATACTGTGATGCCATCCCTATACCTCCAAAAAGCAAGTTTATGCAGTGGACGGGATGAATCTGGACTGTTCTGGCAGAGGAGCACTCTATAACTGGAAAACCTTCCTTGGGGACCTGGGCACCCCCTCAGCTTCATGGGAATCTTTGGCGTAGGGCTTGGCCTCGTGCTAGGCTCCGATGACTACTTCTAGATGGCCTTTCTGGGAGGACTGGCTGAAGAGGCACAGTTATCCTCCACTGGAGCTAGGTTGGCCAAACAAATGAGCAGCAGTTATACTTCAGAACAAGAGCAGTGACCACAGGACCCTAGTGTTGGGTGGCAGGTGTAGCATTTGTATATTGATGGATAATGCCTGTTTGATGGATGTGGGGATAATCAGTCTGAGCATGTGCCAGGTACTATCCTTCTGTGTAAGGAGAGCAGACTTCAGTTGCGGGTGAGACATGCTCCCTGTCCTGGAGAAGCATCTTGTCTAGTTGGAAGGAGTAACCAGCATGCAGCAGCTGCTCAGTGATTTTTCCAAAGGGAGAGGTCAGTGGGGTGGAGCAGTCATGGGTGACTTTATGGGTCATAGGAGATTTGAACCAAGCCATGAAGAACTAGGACAGTGTCATAAGTAAGGACACTGTGCAAAGTGGTGGGGCTGTTTGGAAGAATGTAAATTGAGGGAAAAGGCCCAAAACTACAGATTATTGGACAAAATGGGTGTTGACACACTGTTATTAGTTAAGCAAAACAAGTACAACATGTAGTGTGGGGTGTTTTTTTTCCCCCTCTCATAGGGAAACAAAACAAGTATTAGTCTTCTGATAATTTTTTCTTAGTTCACTCCTACTCTGATCAGCTTCACAAAGGAATGTCTTTTTAATCCCTTTCACTCTGTTTATCTTTGCTGCTTCCATTTTCATTTTGATAATCTTCTGCTCTTCCCTTTTCCTGCCCTTCCCAAACCCAGCAGGAATCCAAATGGATGCAGGAAGGCGGGTGGGGGCAGCCAAATGGAATGGGGTAAAAGTAAGTTGACAGAGATGGGACTCAAGTTGCTTGCAAGTTTTTTGTTGAGTTTTGAAAATATTGCTTTAGAGAATTTCTAGTGAGTTTACTTAAATAATTTACTATTTATAACTTGAGGGGTGTTGACTTGGTTGATGCTTCCACCCCCACTCCATTCTGTATAATAAACTACTCCAGGTGCCCTGGTCTTGTTTTGAGACAGCACATTGTACTCGGCATGTGTGGGCACGTGTAAAGTCCCTGTTGGCTTGGTTTATTGTTGCATTTAAGGTGTTCTACCCAAAAAAGACAAAAGGAATTTTTATTTAAACATGAAAAAGAGATCGAAAAAGCCCAGCAAGATTGAACATGAGAGGCCTCACCTAGGGTTAGTTGTGGAAAAAAATGACATGGATAGATTGGCTTACCAAATAAAGACATATTTATAGATTAGCATTTTGGAAACCTAACAAAAGAAGCTTACCAGTTGGATCTGATTGATAAGAAAGTTACAGTAATATAGAAAGGATCAAAATAGGCTAAAAGTTACAAAGACACAGTGTTAGGAATGGCATAACCATAAAAAAAATCCCATGAGGAATAACTAGAAATTTTATTTGGAAATTAGTTACCCATATAATCAGATACCAATGGGGGCGGGGGGAATGCCCTGGATCAACTGGGAAGAACAATGGGATTTGAACAAATATGAAGTGACTTAGTGAGCTCCAAAATCTACCAGGGTGGTAATGTTGGGGGAATATAATTAATTACCTCAGATTAGATGGGCAGAATGAAGAGAGGAGGTGAATTTTTAGACATAAACCAGTATAGCAAGACAGTCAGGGACCTCAAGGAAAGGGAAATTCTGCATTTGAACCTTACAGATAAATAGAAACCACTCCAAGGAAGTTATACTACTATTCAGTTTTTGGAAAGAAAGCTATACCTCAATTCTAGACAAGAATAGTGAGAGTGCTTCGTAGGCACTAAGTACCTTGGAGAGTGTGTGTATAAGTGGGTAATTTACTGAGGGTTTGCATGTCCGTCATTTCATATACTCTTCCTGACAACATTCTGATTTAGACAGTTGAGAGGTGGCCGCCTCCGTTGTTTAGGAGAGGAGGAGTCATTGAGACCAGCGGCTTGTTGCAAGTTTTGCAGACACTGTTGGTAGAGCCAGGATGTAAACTCAAGTTCACTTTCTCTTCAGTCTTCTTTTCTATAATACCGACTATTTAGACCTTTCCTGAATAGATTAAGCATAAGAAGATCGCTTCTCTCTGAAACATTTGCTTGGAAGCCTTCAGTTTACACTACTACTTATAGGCTCAGGTGTATTTATTCCTCTTCTAGTGTTTAGAAAGTTAATCTTTCTATATGAAATTATATTTTTGATGGTAAATATTGACTTAAACATTTTAAATATAGAATGAGCCCGATTTTATAAAAAATCAAATAATTCTACATATAAGCAAAGGAAAGAGACTGGAAATAAATATACCTTTAAGTGGATTTTAAGAGATTTTCTTTTTTTCCTTCATGTTTGTATTTTTCAAATTTTCTCAACAAACATACAAATTTTTTCTTTTCTTTTTTTTTTTTTAAGGTTTTTATTTATTTATTTGACAGAGAGAGAGACGGCAAGAGAGGGAATACAAGCAGGGGGAGTGAGAGGGGGAGAAGCAGGCTTCCCGCAGAGCAGGGAGCCCGATGTGGGGCTCAATCCCAGGACCCTGGGATCATGACCTGAGCCGAAGGCAGACGCTTAATGACTGAGCCACCCATGCGCCCCACGTACATATTTTTCTACAAGCACAAATATGTGTGTGTATATCTGTATATACATATATTTATAAAAATGATGTTTCAGTACAAAGTTTTGGTCATTTTTAAAAGCAAAGCTATAAATCTCTCATGCAGTTTAGAAGAAAGAATGACCACTTTAACTTCAAACAATCACGTGCAATCTTTTGACATCACTTCTAGATCTGTGTCCATTCTAGGTTAAATTAAATGGAGGCATCTTAAATAGGAAGACTTGGATTACAATTCTGAGTTGCTATTTATAGTGGTATTGACCTAACTTACCCAGTTTTTGAAAACTGTGAATCACAGATGATACTGAATGCCATTGCCCCACCCCAGATTGTCGGGCTTCAGGGCCCTTGCGTTGAGACAGCTACAGCGGGTGAAGGGCTCCTTCTCCCTTCAGAGGTCCCCTGGACATCCTGTGCCTGAGCGCAAGAGGCTGCACTTCCTCCAGTGCACCACGTGGTGGCGCCTTTTGACATTGCCAGCCTCATAGTTTAGGTTTTGTCCTTTATATCTTTTTTTGTTCGTTCTGAAATTTAAGGCCATTCCCCAACTCCCTTCCAACTTCCCCTTTTCATTAGAAAGGAAATTCAGGGAGGAAAGTAACAGTACCTAATTTCACCAGTTCCCATGTTAAAAATGAGTATTCTTTTAGTTAATTGATCTTTCGGAGATTAAAAAACATTCTTCTGTCAAAAGTGTTGGTTTAGGAGTGGCGATAGAGATATATTTTTCTTTGCTTTTTAATGAGTTTATTATGTTGGAGCATTAGTCATCTTGTGGAATTAAGTGAGGTTCCCACCAATCAGGCTGAAATAACTCACATTTTTGATAAAACCCCAAAGTCCAGCTGATGCATGGCAGAGATTGTTTGGGTTTGAAACATATGGTGGTTAAAAAAAAAAAAACAAAACTTAGTCCTCAACCACAAATACATCAGCATTTCAAAGGTTTCTAAAATGTTTGATTCATCACTGTCCCAGCCCCTGAAATTGCACAATATGTTCCTCAAAGTCAAGATAATCAAGAAAGGGGAAAAGTTTTAATTACAAGATTAAAAAATACATTTCTTAGTTCATTATACAGCTGCCATCTTATCTGAATTACACTTATTTTAAACACTGTAGGTTCTGGTTATCCTCACACACACACACACACACACATTACTGCAAGTATGAGTTGAATATACAAAACCTATATAAATGAGCAATCTCATTTGTACTGGGTCTATTTACAACAGTGTTGCGCCTTATGGGGCTCTATTTTAAATGGCACATCTTCTGTTATACCTATATTAAATACTGATGTGGCCTCATCTCCCTCCTACCTCGATCTTTTCAAGGCTCATTTTGGCTGTATTTATTTTATAAAGCAGGGTAGTCTGCTGACCGCAGCTGTGAACTTTAAGATTTAATTTTCTAGTTCTATATATCAGAAGACAAGTATGCCATGGGGTAAATCACTTAGCCTTTCTTTGTTTCCATTTTTTTCCTCTTGACCAAGTAAGACTCTTTATTTTCTTTTTGGAGATTTTTTTTCCCCAAAGAATTCACTAAATAATGTATAAGAGTTGAAGATGGTGTGTTTTAGGGGGACGAAGGCAGAGTATTTCCTTTGAGAGGAGAAAATGGCCCATTGTTGAAGCATAGGATGAAATTCTGATTCTAATTTATTCTCTTTGAACCCGATGGCAAATGTTCCTTGCTGTAAGATGTGGTCCTTGGGGCATTTCCACTAACCAGACCTTTCCTCTGAAGGACTGGCACCTTTTGGACTGCTAAAGAGAGATTCCCCCATCCCTCACCCCATAGATCTAATGCTAAATTTTATAATTTGGGAGAAAGCAATGGTCTGCTAAAGTTCCTGGTCATAGCTAACTTACACTAAAAGCCAGGCTCCAGGTATCGTGTAGTGCCTCCCCACCTACTGCCCAGTAGGACCAGCTTGTCCCTTTCATTAATCCGACATGGTGACTGACCATAATTTGGATCCACTTGAGTTTTTAAAAGTTGTCTCTTCCTGATTGTGCATTAATTCATGTATTCCTTTATTCGGTGAACACATATCGAGTCCCTCCTTTGTACCAAGCATTATGTTGGAGATAAAAGGATGAATAGTACTCTGAAATGCTTTGAGATAAACATTAAAATGTGTGTGCATATACACGCACACATCTGTTCATATATACGCACATATATGTATATTAGCACACACATCTATATGATGTGTAGTGTGCATACAATCAATGCTATCACGGAAGTAGGAACAGAGTGTTAGAGCGTTGAGGGTCGACAACAAGTTGGTGAATCTGCTATAATACTCCAGAATTTCTCTTCAGAATTGGAATGGTAGATCATTGAACCAAGGGAAAGTGATTATCCCAAGACCACAGAACTAGATAGTGCAAGAGTATGGATCAGCACCCCGGGCTTTTGACTTTAGAATTTTTTATTATGGTGCTCAAATGCCTCACGAAGGACAAATAGCACTTATGGCCAGTTACCTACTTTACAGTCAAAGGTGGAAATGTAAAATTTGTTTTGATGATAATTTTCTGTTCTATCGTTTGCACTTCTGGTTGTTTATAAACAAGCAGCATTTTTACTTATAAGCAAGAGTAGGACCTGATCAAGAAAGTAGGAACTGTGGGTTTAGTAGAAAGGGAATATAAGGAGAAAACTAACTTTTATTGAGCCATCAGGCCCCGTGTTTAACACCTTAACATCTGCCACACTTAGTTCCTTTAAGCTTCTCAGGGTCTGTAGTATTCTCATTTTTACAGACAAAGAGATGGGACACAGACTAATGACCCATCCAGGCATATAGTTTTTAGCTTGGTCAAGTTCGGCTCATTGTTAGCTGTCACCTCCACTGCTCCTCCATTAGATACACACAGCACAGAGGTGCTGTGGCAGGGAAATCTTCCACACAGATTTTCATGATTATTGGATCATCCGTCTCCTGCAGTAGGCCGTGAGCTCCGTCAGTGCAGGGACAATGTGTGGCTATGCCTGGTGCATGAGGAAGGCACTCGCATTTTGATGAGGTGGAGCTGGGATTCAAATGCAATTCTTGCTATTACAAGTAATCTATCTATATAAAGTTCTCTGAGATCCTCTTTGAAAAGGCAACATAGGGGCGCCTGGGTGGCTCAGTTGTTAAGCGGCTGCCTTCGGCTCAGGTCATGATCCCAGGGTCCTGGGTTCGAGCCCCGCATCAGGCTCTCTGCTCAGCGGGAAGCCTGCTTCTCCCTCTCCCACTCCCCCTGCTTGTATTCCCTCTCTCGCTTCTCTCTCTCTCTGTCAAATAAATAAATTTAAAAAAAAAAGAAAAGAAAAGGCAACATAGACAAAATATCAAATATTATCTTCTATCCTTGTCTATATAGTGGGTAGGCTGAGAGGTCATTAGAAATCACTGGGAAAATAGGGAATTAGTTTGTTCCTGTATCCATCCTTCTGTCTCTTCTTTGATTCTCTTGATTTTTTTCTCCAGTGTTAGTTTAGGGTCTCTGGTGAGCCCGGCACTGACAGGTGTGGAGCCTAGAAAACGTGTCTGGTCAGGGAAAGGAGATGGCAGTGCAGTGCCTCAGACTTCACTGTGGGGGTCCTCTGTGGTCATAACTGACTCCCGGTTTCATTTTGCCCCTTCCTCAGCGGCACAGCAGAAGTCAAGGTAAGGGAGGTGACGGCACACAGAGGAAAATGCAGAAACGCCGTTCGTGTCCCTTGCATTCACTCGGAGCGGCCCAGCTTTTTTGTTTTGTTTTTAACCAAGTGCATGTATATTTTTAATTCTTCTGAAATGTATGTTTTTCCAGACAAAGATTTTTAGGAGGTCTGTAGTCATTCATGAAATAGATGAAATTCATAAAACAGATGCCCTTTTTCCCCTTCTCATTTGCACCATGAAACCCATGTGTTACTACTTGAGCTTGCAAAATTTCTGGACATTCAGCTAAAGCTGTGAGGTTCTTGTGGAGCAGCTACATGTCTTTTCAGTGAGAGGGATCAGGAGGTGGGAGGTGAAGCTGGCAAGGTTTCGGCAGTGTTCTTCCTGTTCCCTCCAGCCCTCCACCGCTTATCTCCCCCTCTGCTGGACCCTGCACAGCAGGGTGGGTAAAGGATAGAATTGCAAACAGAAATTGCATTTGCTTTTGTTTAGTGAAGCCAAAAAGCTTAATCTTATTTTATGAACTCAATGTAAATGACAGCTGACATGAGAAAGAGATTTTAAGAGCACCGTAAGCATCTTTTTACAGTCATGGAGGTTGCCATGGGGGGCCGGGGGAGGACAGTGCAGGAAGACTCTGTGTGTGTGTGTGTGTGTTTAAGTTGTATATAATCACTGTCTCCACCCTCTCCAGAAAGACCAGAACTGATTAGAAGAAAAAGACTAACTTGATGCACGGAATTCTGTATGCATGCCAAATACTGCTGCAAAAAAGATTTGGCATCTGAGTGAAAAGACACCAACCGACCATTAGATTTCTATGGTTGAACACTCTTAAGATCTTACTCTCCTATATTTCATTTAAAAAATTGCTCCCCGAAGTGCAAACTGACTTCAATTCTGAATAAAATTTAGCATTCAAATTTATAGCCACTTTGAAAACTGAGGGTTTATTTCGATCATGTGAACCTGAACAGATTCTTAATTACAGCAGCCCTGTTGCACATAGGGAATCTGGGTTAAAAACAAAACAAAACAAAACTTCCACGTAGGTTTTTCCACATTTCTGGGATGCTTTCATAGCAGCCTTCATTTATGGGAAATGGTATTAAAATCCTGCCATATTCCAGTTTAAATTTAAACACACTGCTTCCCAGAAGAGATTTTAGTGTATCCTATAAAGACACTAAAAAGGGTTTGGGGGTTTTTTTTGTTATGTAATTTTTTTTCCTTGTCTTGCAAACCTATCGAGAGAAACTGGTTCCTTCCGTGATCTATGTGCATTAACAACCTGTGCCGAGAGCACCCCTTGCTCTTGTTGCAGCGGGCAAAAGTCATCTTTGTTTGCATGAAAGAAAAGTCTGATTGAACTAGGGTGAGCCTTTCATTTTAAGAAGAGTTAAAGTCTGGGGTGTTTTTAATGTTTTAATCTCTGTTTAAGAGGTTTCTGTTACAAGAGGAAAATTGATAACATTTTTACCTCAGCAAACTGCCAGCAAACTGGCTCTGCTCTAATCCCACGTTGATAGTGATTTATATTCTCCATGGCAATGTGCTCTAACGTCAGAGTGAGACCACTGTGCTGTGGACGGACTGCATTCCAAATGCTGGAATCACATACATAATGTTTTTACTTTTAAATAATATTCAGACACCAGAATAAATACCATATGTGCACTGATGCTGGTTACAATGGAACCTTGTCATGTCTTGTGAGGGAGAACATTCTTTGTTTCTGATTCCTGTTTGAAATAAGTATGCAAAAGATAAATATGTGCATTGATGGCATTTTGAGAAGGCGTAGGTAATTACCCAGCTGAGGATGTAGCTCTGATTCCTTGAAATACAGCATTTAAGACTAAAGAGATTGTTGTGTGCGCCCCCCCCCAACCCCTCTTTGACACACACGAAGGCAAGGATCGTTACCTGATGTTGCCAGTGTAGGGTGCAGTTTTTATATTTTCTATCCACAGCGGGCTGTAGTTACAGGACATCTGTTGAAGAAAAATTACTTCGTGAGCACTGCGTTCATAGCAACAGTGAGACTAACATGCTCATGACATCGTAACAGGGGGAGTAACACGTGATAATGGAGAGGGATGGATTGATTGGAAAACCATAATTCAGTGTGAGGCCTAATGTTATCTGAAGCCACAAAAGCAGAATTTAGGTGGCCTGACATCATCAAAACACAGATAATCAATCTCTCCAGATCCATTTTTTCCCCCCACATGATATTGAAGGTTGGAAAGTTTCATATAAAGTTTAGAAATACCTCCCGAGTCCTGCATTTTTAGATTTTTGTTTTTGTCCATCTTGGTTGGAATTCTCATCCACCTAGACATATTTTTTTAAATAGACATGGCAGAATGCCTTTCATATTTGTACATCTGTAACAGGCTTCAACAAGTCAGTCCACATTTGCTTCTTGGGGAAGCATTTCAATCCAGGTTTGTGTTCTTACCATCAGTTGGGCTATATTGAATTTCTGCTCATGACATTTTTTTTTCTTTTTTTTTAAAGATTTTATTTATTTATTTGACAGAGAGAGACACAGCGAGAGAGGGAACACAAGCAGGGGGAGTGGGAGAGGGAGAAGCAGGCTTCCCGCAGAGCAGGGAGCCCGATGCGGGGCTCGATCCCAGGATCCTGGGATCATGACCTGAGCCGAAGGCAGACGCTTAACGACTGAGCCACCCAGGCGCCCCTCTGCTCATGACATTTTAATAATACTTTATAGATGAGGAAATCCTGGGCATTGAACTGATGGCTTCCCTCCTCCTCTGCACCCCATCCCCACCCAGTTTTGTGAGGTTTGCCCAGAATATATAGTGTGAGATTAACGTGTGAGTCATACATCATAACGCATCTCCGACAGTTTATCTGCACATAACTCAGAGTTTGGGTAACTCTTGCATCCTTTCTGGGAGTTCCTTGCAGAACTGTTTACCATTATAAAAATGCTCTCAAGCCTGTTTTTGAAACTGAGAAGTTATGAGACAAATATTGAACCTCTAACATACTGTCTCTCATTTTCAGCTTTTCGGATGATCCCTTATCCCTTGGAAAAGGGGCATCTGTTTTATCCTTACCCAATCTGTACAGAAACAGCAGATCGAGAGCTGCTTCCGTGTAAGTCTCACTTCTGTATTCCTCTCTTTGTGCCTGAACGTGGGGATGGGAAGAGGTGGGAATGATAAATGTTTGTAATGTTCCTTGTCTTTTATTACTCTTCTCCCAAACCCTGTTCTTATTTGCTAGCATGTGCATTAAAGTGAGTTATGTGAGTGGGTCTGGCATCCTGCTCCTCCAAGGCTCTGCAGATTCCTCACAGGGAAAGACCTCCAAGCCCTGAAATTTAGATGAAGAGGCACCGTGCGCTGGTTGGCCTGAGCGCAGAGACCACTAGTTTGGGGTGGATGTTCGAGGGCTGGTCCCCTGTGCGTGGTTCTGCCTGAGTTGCCCAGCTGCTCGGATGCACTCCGCACAGACTGGAGTGTGAAGCGGAAGTGCTGACGCCAGAGGGTCTGCAGATGAGTCAAGGATGGGAGGGCAGCGCCAGGACAGGGGCGTCATTGCCAGAGGCAGAGGTGTGGGGCCGGGTGGGCGTGCTCTCAGCGGCGGCCGGAGGGGTTTCCCGGGAGCCTCTCGTGGTCGCACGTCATGAGCTGGTGTGGCATGAGCAGAGCACACGTGCAGCCTCAGCACTGTATGCGGCAGAAAGAGGGGGAGCCCTGCCCTTGAGAACCTGACGAGCTAGCAGTCTGATAGCCCATGCCGCGCGTGCGAAGTATGATTCGGTTTGCTGTAATACAACATTGTTTTGACAAGTCCTGCTAAATAGCTATTGTCAAATCATACTGTATGCAGGGATCATGTCCAGGCTCTTCATGTGGCCCTGACTTAGGGCATACTTTTCTCTCTCAGATAATAAGCTCCAAATTTTGGCTAGTCTCTCTTCCTTGTCCTCTCTCCTGCCACCTCCTCTCTTTGACCGGCCCCAGTTAAATCCTGTCTCGTAGCTCCAAGGGATAGGGTAAGTCTGGAGCCCTGGGTGCATAGTAAATCGTCCAGTGCCAACATTATTGAGCCTGTCCTGTCTCCAGCGTGATGGGATCTGGGTGCAGCACGAATTGCTGTCTCAGATTGAAGCAGCAGGAGGTCGCTCCCTTGTTTCCTCGCTAGCCAGAGGCCATGTCCTATTTGTTACTTAGGGGTCTGGGAGAGCTCAGTGATGTGTTGTTGCTCCTTGCCCGAGTTTTATTGTGAAAAAGGGTCTGGTGCCTCACACTGCGTTAAGATTTGATTTCAGAAATTCCTGTTATGATCCCACGCTTTACCTTTGGACTCCTGCTTCAAGGAGATCCTTGTTAAAATTTGTTTCTGGTAAGAAAGGCAGTTTTCTGAAAAGCACAGTTTTAAAATGTTTTAATTGAGTCCAATTAAGTTTCCATGGGAATAGATTCACTTTTAGAACAAGATTACAGCTCTTAAAAGAAACTTTATAGGAATAATCTTTATGAACCCGAAGTTGAAAATTATGACTCTCATTTATTTAATTGAATGCAGTGGTTCAAAATCTGATCTCCCCTCACAATCTTTCGGGGGTTGGGCGTTGACAGCGAGGATGGCGTGGATACCAAGAGCGCCGACTGTTTGGAATGCTCCCCACATTTTGCACATTCAGAGTCCCCTCGTCGGACATTAGGGCCAGAGTGTGCCTCCACCCTTCCTTCGAATCCCAGCAGGTAGCTGCCTGGATTCACGTGTGCGGGCTTGTCTCTGCTTTGTCCCTCCCTGCCCCTCTGCCCTCAGTCTCAGGCCCAGCCAATTATTGGTTAGGGCTGTAAATAATGGGAGCTAAACAGTCGAGGAAAGGCCTTTAGATCTGGATTTCCACTTGGAACCTTTCGGTTCGAGAGGCAGTTTCACAGTCTCTCCTCCACGGGCCAGCCCCAGCTCCCCTGGTAAGCACCCCACCGCCCGGGGGGTGGGGGGGCTCACAGCCAGCCAGCAAGCAGCAAGCGGGGAGTCCGCTCTCTTGGTGTTGGCGCCACCTGCTTTTTGGTTTCCCTAAGCCCAGCAGTTGAAACTTTAAAGTTATGAAAGGTGTTCTGAAGAGCACCAGTTATTTATTTTTCTGGTGATTGTGAGATTGTTGGAAGTATGTTTATCATCAAGAGTCTCCTACAGTGGTGCCAGATGACCCCCGTAGCCTTGATCTCCAACCTTTGCAGGTTGAATTGGCCAGCATGTGAGGTCCTTGCTGAATGTCTATCAGGATGGCTCCCTCCACCGACATACTTGAAGTGGGCCAGGAAAAAATACAAGATAAACCAATATCACCTCATTATAATGATTAAAAAATTACAGGAAGGTCAAAATCTAGAGAAAAGATTTCTTCCCCCCAGTATATTTAATTCTGGATTTTCTGGGTTTTGCACTGTGAACATGTATTTTATAATGTGAATAAGGTTTTGTTTTATTTGTGTTTCCTTTTGAGAAAGCAGGACTATATATTAGGCAGAGATGGTGTTACTGTTCCCCCACAGATGTGCGACATCCTCAGATCAGCCCTATCGTGCTTCCCCCATGGAGCACGAAAGCTCGACCGTGGCCTCGGGAGAAGCAGATAGGAAAGCCAGAGGCCGGTTCAGAGGGTGGCGCTGGTTCATTCAGGTGCCCTGCCCTTTGTGTTCCCTAGAGGCTTCAGTCACAGCTCTGCGAGAGACCGTCCCACAGACAGAAATGCCCCAAGAACGCATTTCACTCTGACACTCCTATTTCCCTCTGGATCTTCTCCACAGCGTTCCATGAAGTCTCAGTTTACCCAAAGAAGGAGCTTCCCTTCTTCATTCTCTTTACTGCTGGATTGTGTTCCTTCACAGCCATGCTGGCCCTCCTGACACATCAGTTCCCAGAACTTATGGGGGTCTTCGCAAAAGCTGTGAGTATTTGCCAAGAGGGAGCCTGAGGCCAGGGGCCAGGGAAGCCAAGGGAAGCAGCGGGAGAGAAACGAAGGAGTGTCGTGTAGGAAAGGATGTGCCTGTATTGATCATTTGCTCACTGTTTAATTTTCGTCTTCATCGGTGGAATCCAAAAGTTGAAGGCCAGTGAGAAAGTGTAGGTAGTTTGTTAATGCATGCCTTGCCTCATTTCACACACAAAAAATCCCAGATTTCAAACAGGTATGAAGTCTGAAAGTATTAAATAAATAATTAAGGGAATCCTAGCAAATGAAAAATGTGTGGGAAATTGCCCCATTTTCTGTAAGTTGAACGACATTATTTCTAATCTTTAGATATTGTGGGTCTTTCCTTTAATAAAGACAAGATTTACATTTTCAGAGATTTAAATAAAAAATATTTTCATGGCTTCAAACTTCTGGCTTGTTTGGGGAATGAGCTGAGAGGTTGTGGAGGGCTTGTAGTGAACAAGTAGATTAAGAACTTGTGTTAAGTATACGGACATGACATTTAGAATATGGAAATCCAGTGAGAGCCTTTCAGGAGGGTTGAGGAATGAAGCTTTAATAAGAAAAGCCGTCTGCATTAACAATTGACAAGCAAGAACCGCTGTTTCCTGGTTGAAAACCAAGCGTTTTCAACGGCATGTGCAGGGAGGGTGGGCTTACTGATTTTGCCATTTGCCACAGATGAGTTTCAAACAGAAGGAATAAGGAAAAGAGTGTCAGTTGTTTCCCTGGAACTCCATTCTGATTTCAAGGCGAGTGGAGTCAGAAAGGATGATTTCTAACTTGGCTGGGTTGATTTAATCCCTTTCCAGATGATTGACATTTTCTGCTCGGCAGAGCTCAGGGACTGGAATTGCCAGAGTATTTTCATGCGTGTTGAAGATGAACTGGAAATCCCACCGGCACCTCAATCTCAACATTTCCAAAACTGAACTCATCACCCTCCTTTCCCACCACCAAAACCACTCCTCCTGTATTCCTGACCTCCGCCCATGGCACTGCCATCCGCCCGGTTACTCAAGCCAGAAATGCAGCAGCCCTCCCGAGCTCCTCTCTCTCACTCCCCACATCCTACCTGTCTCGGCCTCCACAGCATGTCGGGTCTAACCTCCTAAACCACTGGGCGTTCAGTAAATGTAATTCACCTCTTCTTCCCCTCCTTCACTCCCCATGGCCTCCTTCTCTTCATTTAGGTCTTGTTTTTTCTTGCTTGGACTCCTCTGCAAGAGTCTTAACTGGTCTCCTGGCTTCCAGGTTCATCCCCTGCCAGGCTTTCTCTCATACTGACACAAGAATGATCTTTCCAAATTGCAAGTCTGAGCATGTCACTTCCCTGCTTGAATTTCTCCAGAGGTTTCCCACAGACTTCAGGATAAAGTCTCAGCTCCTTAGCATGGTATGCAAGGCCCTTCATGATCTGGTCTTGCTTGCCTCTGCAGCCTCATCTCTCCCAACTCTTGCACAGACACTGCTCTTAGGCCATAGTGAATTACTCACCACTCCCAGATGCATAGGCTCTTGTACACCCCAGTGCCTTTGCACGTGCTGTTTGCTGTGCATGGAATGCCCTTCCCCGTCACCACCCCAGCTTGTCCACTCTACTAACTGCTCTTCCTTCTTTTATACTCAGCTTTCTTTCTGAGTTTCTCCTAAGCTGAGTTAGAGGTCTCTCTTCTGTGATTCCACAGTATTCCATGAATACCAACATTATCACATTTATTGTACTATATTATAATTGTTGAAAACTTGTCTGTCCCCCTTTTAGAATGTGAGCTCCTTGAGAGCAGGACTGTGTCTTCCTCTGTATCCCCAAAGCTTTGCACAGCACCTTGCACATAGTAGGTTTTCAATAAATGATTATTAAATAAATAAATGGTAGTGGTTTCTGCAGAAAGAATCAATGTAAAAATCAGGTACAGTTTAGCATTTCTCCTCCTCTTTTGTAATTATAGTCATGGACTCTTAGAGTTGAAAAGGACCTTAAACAAATTGCCTTCAGCAGTAATGTGATGGAGGTCATCTAGACTCTTCTTGAATACTCTCAATGATGGGGAACTCACCTACTTAACATCAAAGCCCATTTCATTGTCCACTCTACTTCTTGCTTGGACTCCTCTGCAAGAGTCTTAACTGGTCTCCTGGCTCAGATGTCTTCTTTACACAATAAAATCTGCCTCCCTCTAATATGCACCTGTTGTTCCTGTTCTGCCCTCCAAAACTATACTCAACAAGTCTCCTCCTTTTTGTAAATTCTTATGACAACTAATATATTCATGGCCACCTCTAACCTCTGACTATTGGTAGAACATCTCAAATTTCCTTAAGTCTTCTGTACATACCGTGATTTTTAAACCCAGGATGCTCTCTAGTTTATGGACCTCTACTATTCATTATTATACCCCCAAGCCAACCTCTGAGTAAAAATAGTTGCCAAAATTCTGAATAGATTAGAGTTTAACTTAGTAAAATTTAAAACAGGAATATATTTACAACATTAGACAATTATTCTTCCTCCTTTAAATGTTCCTCTCTTAAACAGTTTTTAAAGCATTTTTGTCCAAGTATGTCATTTTTCCATTATTCTTCATTAAACAAGCAATTAACACTTGGTGGGAGTTTCGGATCAGAACAGACCTTTACATAAAATTCATTTGGCCCCACCACCAGAAATTCAGAATCTTGAGTGTTAGCACCCAGAAATCTGTGTTTTTAACAAGGATTCCAGCAGGTTCTGAGGATAGGGGTTGAGGGCTGTATGTGCTGCTAAGGACCTGGTCTGGAGCAAGCCGAGCGTTTGAGCGGCCACTTGCCGGAATGGGGCGCACTGCCGGAGCCGTTGAGGTGAACACTTTCTAGGCATCAGAGGTTTCCCCCTGGCTGCACCTTGGAATGCCCTCAGGGGGCCTCCGAGTGACTGGTGGCTGCCCCCCTTCCCCCTTGGGGGATGCTGACTTCCGCAGCCTGGGGTACAGCCTGGGCATCCGAGTTTTCAGGCGATTCAGGTGTGCCAGGGCTGCGACCACCACACTGAATGGAAGGACGAATTGCCCGATTGGGTCTTCTCTAGGAAAGGCTCCACTGCCTCCAGAATTTCAGAGCGATGTGTCCATTAGGGATCATGTCATGTTTCCAAAGCTTTGGTTTTGAGTCTAGATCAGCTGATTGAATAAAATAATCAATTTGCCTTACGGCCCTCATTGCTTCTACTCTGCCAGGGTGTGGTTGTTTGGTCAGCTACTCATAATTTCCAAATATAGTTTAGATAAATTTGCTTTTAAACCTCTGTCTGGAAGATCACATTCATCTTGCCCTTCCTGAAGGTTTAACAGTTTTCAAAATGTCTAGAGAGCCTTCGTGGGGAAGGAAGATGGATGGCCTGAAGGAGACAGGCCCCATCCCTCTCCTGCCCACCCTCTCCCCAGAGTCTTCCCCAAGTTTTCACCCGTCACTGCCGCAGGCCTTTCGAGAAGCCCCCTGCAGGTTATCACCGCCACCCCATAGGCTGCCCACAGCCATTTGCAGCTTGTGAAAATGACTTTCTCAGGCCTCGTGGAGATAATGTCCCTGGGATAATGACTCGTAGGAGATGCAGAGAGATTGCACTGCCACCCCCCAGGCTGCATGCAGCTTGGGAACTCTCCAGTCTGTTTATATGTTGATACGCAGCCAGTAAGGAAGCCCACAGCTAAGCGTGAGCCACTGGAGAATAGTAAAATGAGCAGCTTCAACTGGCTTCTCCCCCCCACTAATCTAATCTACCTCCATGACTTAAGACTAACTCTTCCTCGAATGTTTGGCTACCAAGATAAGGTTGCTCATATAAAGAAGTTATCGTTTCAAACCCAGCCCCTCGCAGAATGTGGGAAGGTCAGCATTCTGACCCCGTCAGCTTTGAAGGGCTCTGTCTTTCCTCCTCTGATCTCTCTCCTTCACGGAGACTGAGCCCCCTGACTTCTGACTCTCGTCTTCACTTATAGGCCTTGACCTCTTTGAAGTCTGATATTGATTATAGTGAAATGTCAATTGTCTGATTGCAATAGGGCACCTGGAACTTATTCAGATAAGCAGAGGCATTTTGAATGTTAACGAAGCATGTTGGGAGCCATGACCTTCTCCTAAATAATGGTGTTTCAGGAAAAGGAGGACCAGGCGATTGAAGTGTCACTCTCTCTTTTTTATTAGTCCAGTTGCCTTTTCTCACCCTAAGGCACTGATTGAATCACGGTGCGTCTTGGACCGTGTATCTCTGCCCTCTGGACAGAAGTTGTGGACATTGAGATAGATGAGCTGTTCCCGGGCTGCCTGGTCTTGCTCATTCAGACTTCACTTTTCAGGCAATAAATTTCCCAGGTCTGTGAGTGAAACTGCTGTTTCTCTGTGCATTGGTTGAGTCTCTGGCCCAAAAGTATTGACTGATTTTCAAACATGCAAAGAAGTATAAATGAACATCCTAAGCAAGGCACATTCCACCAAACATTTTTTTTTTTAATACCTTCTGATGAAAGCCACTAACCTTTATCTGGTTGCTAAATGAGAGGGCTTATGGGCTTCAGATGCCTCATTGCATTGTCTGCTTCTTCCCTGTGGGTGAGGGATGAGGAAGAGGATGCAGGGAGGGGTGCTAAGGAGGAAGGTAGCTTACTAATAAAAGGTGCATATCTCAACTCGGGTGCTGCAAGAGAATTAGGATCTTTAGGAAAAGTTTCTGGGGATTCTTTTCTCGATTCTCCCAAGGACAAAACACTCTAGATGTGAGGGAGAACAGTACATTGTCGCATTTATTAGAGGTGTTAGGACTTACTTCCTTTGTGGAACCTTGTTGAGAAGTGCACGTGAAGTCCAAGGAGGCAGGGCCCGCTGTGACTTGTTGGGCAGTATGGGAAGAGGGGCAACTGCAGACATCAAACAGGGCTAGAGATTCCCCTCTTGATTTTCAGAGGCCTCACTTTTGTTCTTTTTATGCAAGTCAGGTCAGTGCCCAAAACAAAGCAAACAAACAGGCCTTATTTTGAACCAACTTTGTAACGACCTCTCCATTCATTCTGCTTCCCAAGTTGAGGCTCCCTGATGTCCCCACATGTAGTGAATGAAATTGCACAGAATACAGACTTGGAGCGATGCCTTTCATCTAACTGCAGGGGCTCAGGCTAATTCGGTAGTTCCTTACCCACTCCATCACAGCTGCGATGGTTCTGAATCTGTTTTAGGTCAAGTCTTTAGGATATAATAACTCCACCAGCAATATCGCCTTGTTCAGTGAGCCCAATCTGCAACCCCTGTCAGAATCTCTGATTTATCCAGACTACTATAGCACCTACCTTCTCTTTATAGAACTAGGCAAATGCTGTGTTTTATGGAGCCTTGGTAGTCTCTGATTACAAACAAACAAAATCTCATAACTAGGATTTTAATAAACAAGCAATCTTCTCATAACTAGGTTTACAAACTTTCTCAATAAGCAGCTTGGGCAGTAATTATTCATTTCTGGGCGATAGGGTGAGCATCCCATGTGGTTCTGTGCACACAACAAAGGACAATTTCAGGTTACCAGAAATTGACACATATCTAACACCCACTTGGCGAAAGAGCCATCCACATTTGCTCAAGTACTAACATGGCTGCCTATTTCTTTTTAAAGATTTTATTTATTTATTTGACAGATTGATAGCGAGAGCAGGAACACAAGCAGGGGGAGTGGGAGAGGGAGAAGAGGGCTTCCTGCCGAGCAGGGAGGCTGATGTGGGACTCGACCCCAGGACCCTGGGATTATGACCTGAGCCGAAGACAGACGCTTAACGACTGAGCCACCCAGGCGCCCCATGGCTGCCTATTTCTTAACTCCAAACCCAACTTGGCATTCAGGGCCCTCCCCAGAGTTCTTCTGGTCACTTTTGAACTATTAACTCTTCCAGCTAAGCTGAATTACTTACTGCCTTCTGATCATACCAGTTACTTTCCCATTTCTGTTCCAGCTGTTTATTGAGCCTGGAGGGCTCACCTCCTCATATTTCTTTCCTTCCCATCCTTACCCCATCTGTATGTTTTGATATCCCAACCATCCATTGTGGTCTGTTTCACTTGCCTCATTTTAAGTTTTTCTTGCTCCTTTCAACAGAATGGATTCTCTCCCTTTTCTGAGTCCTCCTGGTGCTTTCTTTGGGCTTTTATCTTCCATTCTATGATGGTCTATCTGGTATCATTACTTCGCTGTGTGGAGGCCTTAGTGGCCACCTATCCCTTCCCCTTGACCCTGGGCTTTGAGCTTCCTGACAATGGGAGTTTTGTCCTAGACTCCTTTATATCTTATCCAACACTTAGGTGCCTTACAGAGTAAATATATTTAATTTATGTAAAAGACACAACAGGGGGAAGGATTCCAAATATTATACTATCTTGAGTTTCCTTACACTAATGTCACACTTATTGGTCCAGCTATAATGTGTCGCAGATCTTACAATTAGTATTCTACTGGTTCTTTTTTTTTTTTTTAAGGTTTTTGTTTATTTGTTTGACAGAGCACGCACACGGATGAGCAGGGGGAGGGGCAGAGGGAGAAGGAGAAGCAGGTTCCTCACTGAGCAGGGAGCCCCATGCAGGACTCCATCCCAGAACCCCAGGATCATGACCTGAGCTGAAGGCAGATGCTCAACCGACTGAGCCACCCAGGCACCCCAGTATTCTACTGGTACTTAAAAACAACAAAGAAGGAAAGATTCTGAGGTCAAGTGAATTTTGAAACTTGCTTAGCATACCCCTTGAAGATCTGAAATCCACAGAACATACGGAGGAACCTCTCTTAACTTCATTAAATATACTATTACTTTGACCTCAGAACCATGCCCCCCCTCACCCCTATGTATTTACATACTACACTATACTCCTCTGGGAAATTCTTGGTGGTGTAGACAATGTTTTGTTGAGAACAAGGGATTAGGACAAGACTCCATAGTGTAAGGACCAGGTATGGAACCCTAGCAAGATAATACCTTGGTTCTGAACTGACAGAGAGCAAGGAAACCACCCAAACATCTCTCTCTCATGTGGAGCTCTGTTAGGGGACCTCTTCTGCCAGATGCTGGATGATTTGTGGAATGAAGCTAATTCTTCACGAGAACATAATCAGAACAAATTTGAGATGATGTTAAATGAGTCTCAGGCGAGGTACTTGGCTTTCTTAAAAGGCACGGTTAATGAGCATTTTTCTCTACATGAAAAGCAGAAAGGAGTTTAGAAACCAAATGAAAGAGATCCCAAAGATCTCCTCAGAGCAGCCCTTCTTCAACAAGGACATGCTATCCACAGACTGGCCAGTTTGCTGTCCTCCCCTGGGCTCCCATGATGCACTCCACTAAGCAGGTAGTTCAGACATGAGCATGGGCGACAGAGGCGTTTGGGACACAATAGAATCCCAAAGCAATTCACAACCATATAACAAACTTGACTTTTTAAAATTGCCTTTTCCCCTTAAAGTGAGTTCTGTACCCAGCTAGGCAGGCAGGTGGTCTGAAGTGTCACAATTTTTTAGCTCTTCTGCCTACTTGTCACTCAACTGTCAGTCCCTTTTGATGGCACTAGTCATCTGCATGCACAGCCAGCAGATCCTGAAGACGGATCTGAAGGCCTGGGAACCGTGGGCCTGCTGTCAGGAATGAAGGGGGCAGTCTGCAGCCCCTTCTCCCGCTTATCTATCACAGCTGGGGAACGGGGGCTGGAATGCAGGTGTGATCATCAACCTGTTTCCTATAACATAAATACAAAATTGTAGCCTTTGAGACTTTTATAATGCCAAGACTTATAGGTTGGAAAGGTTCGTTCTGTAGTCTTGAAAGATCTCTCCTGACTCTGTGCCTCTCTGTTTCTTTGCAGTTCCTCAGCACTTTGTTTGCCCCCTTAAACTTTGTCATGGAGAAAGTGGAAAGCATCCTTCCATCCAGCCTGTGGCACCAGCTGACGCGGATCTAGGGAAGCCCACCTGTCCTTCCACTCCCCTCACCCAGTGGGCTGCCACCATCTCTTCGTGCCAACTCCTCGTGGACTGCAAGAAAGCATGACTCTGAAAAAGGGAAGCCATTCCGAGATTTTAAATTGTTTATGGACCGTCTGTTCCATATTAAAAGCTGTTTTTGTTGTACAAAATTCATTGATGTTCAGTTCTATTATATTTTGCCTTCAGAAAAGAAAAAAAAATCAAAAATAAACTTTTGTGTATTGCAGCAACCAGTGTGTCTTCTTATGTCTCCCAACCTTAAAAGTGTTGGTGTCCCAAATAAATCTGTGGGTTTACATTTAATTTATTAAGGACCCAGATCTTCTGAATGCCCCACAGTGGTTTTCTTTGCTGACAAAACTCATCTCAGCAGGCCCTTTGGACCCCTACAGTCATTGGCTTGGAAAATAGAATGTCTTTGGCCCAAAAGTACCACATTTTTCAGCCCCAAACTGTTGGTCCTTGTAGGCCAAATGCACAGAAAGAGCTTTCCACAAAGAAGGACAGGAGGCATGAATGAAACAAAATGTATATGCCGTGACAAGTTGTTCCAGTTCAGAGATTCTACTCATTGAATAGAACTCAGTACTATAGTTTGGTTTTGTTTTATGAAAATTTGTTGTGAGAAGAAAACTTTTGATGAGAATCTACAGACCCAACAGTCTGTTGTATAACCTGACTACTTTTCAGAGTTGCCGTTTTTAAAATGTTCTCTCATAGGGGTACTTTTTTTTTTTTTTTAAAGATTTTATTTATTTATTTGAGAGAGAGAATGAGATAGAGAGAGAGCATGAGAGGGGGGAGGGTCAGAGGGAGAAGCAGACTCCCTGCTGCGCAGGGAGCCCGATGTGGGACTCGATCCGGGGACTCCAGGATCATGACCTGAGCCGAAGGCAGTCGCTTAACCAACTGAGCCACCCAGGCGCCCAGGGGGTACTTTTTTAAAAACAATTTTTGTATCCTTGATGCTTAACTGTAAGCGTTCTTTGAGTATTTTCGTGATCTGAACCAGAATGGTCATTTGTCCTTACCACCTTTGAAAGCCTACGATTCACACCTGCTGAACATCTGGCTTTACTTAAGCAAAAGAAGAAAAATAAATAACATTGAATCCTCCATCTGAAGTGAAAAGTACCTCTATTTAAAATCTCAATTCAGTGCTTAAAAAAAAGGACTCCTTTACAGTTTGTTTTCCATTTTATTTAGAATCCTGAAACTTTTCCCATGAGCGTTAAAATAGGCAGTGTGCGGGGAAGGCACCACCACCACATCTTCCCAGCTGGACTTCCTGCTGGCTCCCGTCCTTCATCCAAGAGCAAAGTAAGTGGCCAGGTAATGTTTAGGCGCACAAGGGCTTCTCATTCTTTTGGCAAGTTTCTCTTTTCTTTTTTTAAAAGATTTTATTTATTCATGAGAGAGAGAGAGAGGGAAGCAAAGACAGAGGGAGAAGCAAGGAGGCTGATTCAGGACTCGATCCCAGGACCCTGGGATCATGACCTGAGCCGAAGGCAGACGCTTAACGACTGAGCCACCCAGGCGCCCGGCAAGTGTTTCTTTCTACTGTATTTGTGCAAAGCCCTGATATGCAGCTGGCTCCTGCTCTGAGGAAATTATCTTGGAAGAGGTTGAATTCCTATATCCACACCAGTAGTGCTGCTCTTGGGGGCAGTGACTGTGTCTGCTTTGTTTGCCTCTTTGCTTCTTCCCCCAACAGAAATCTTGAGCTGAAGTGGGTGTTCAAATGATATGTTGAACAAATTGATGCAATTCATGATAGGCGCAAATAAAACTTGATTCACAGTCTGAGGAAAGGGGTTGGTTCCAGCAGAGAAGGACCAAGGAAGGCTTAGAATTGTAAATTTGGGCTGGAAGAAAATGTAGTAATTATCTAATACAATTATTTGATTTAACAGATGGGAAAACCAAAGTCCAAAGAGATTTCGACCTGAGTTGGGACTCTAGACTGCAATAAGCTTTAAGTGAAAGTTTCCAGAGCCTGTAGGCAATAGCAAGTGGAAATGGCCTAGTGTGAATTGTTGTTAGAAACCCCAGTTGCAGGAGATTCAGCTAAGAAATGTAACACACGGATTTAGAAGCACCTTGTGAATTTAATAATTAGGACTTTAAAGCAATTTCTTGGAAAGGGGAGGCAAAAATTAGACTTTGAGGGGGAAAGGGAGTGAATGGGAGAGGTAAAGGTGGAGAAAAGATGGGGACAGAATGAAGACACAGGGATAATAGAGATTGCTGAAGGAAATGAGTCCATGGTCCATGAGAGGAGCTAATCAGGTGAGGAGGAGGAAGGCTTCTCTAAACTTCTGCCAACTTAATAGACCTTTCCCCTTATAACCCAGAGTCACTCTTCAGACAGGCTGTGACCCCAATTGCTCCCTTTCCTCCACATCTCTGTTCAACTACTCTGCTCAACTCTTGAGAGCAACCAGGACTCATTCTTGCTGTTCTGGTCTCCCGGGCCTGGATACCACAGTGGTTGCTGTCTTTTTAGCTCTTGCCTTGTTTTGCTGCCCCTGAGGACAAGCATTCAGGCCTTGCTAAGGGTTTCATGCAAATTTATGGGGAGGCGGGGCCAGAGCAGCCAATATGGCAGAAGAGTTTTTAAGATGATTACTTTTACATGATTCTTACACTTTTCGCCCAAGGTCCACGGTTCCTGTCTTCTTG